TGTTCTGTGAGACCTTTCCAAGGTGACCAGACTCTAAAAAGCCTTCCTTTACACCCTGAAGATGACTTAGAGCCTCAGTTCTCATCCCTAGGTTACTCATTTATCACCACGACAGAGATTTTGTCCTCACACCTGCAAGGCTCAGTGTCACCTCAAAGGTTCTTCCATCCTTCCCACAAAGCAAGCAAGCACAACTAAAATCCCATTGTTTCTATAAAAACATAAGTCCTCCTTATGGACTACTACAGGAATTTTTCTCATTGTCTTCTACAGTCAATATCTTTTATCCCTATGGAACTACAAACAAATGATTTTAGGTGGTTTTTATATTGTTCTTTAGTGCTAAGATCATCACAGTTATTCAATCTAACAAAAGCCTTCTATATACCATATATGACAACATCAATTTTTCAATTTGTGACTTTGTTATCTGAAATAGTTTCTATACAATCCAAAATAAGGTACAAATATCAAGATGTTAAAGCACTCTTTACAAAAAAAAGAATCCTACCAAGGTAAGACACCATGGAAACTACATTAATTTCAACCTTAAAAGGAAATGAGTTAAGTGTAGTAGTGCATGCCTTTAATCCCAGCACTCAGTAGACAGAGACTGGAGGTAGATTTCTGTCCAATCTACCAATTTGTCAATTGGTAGACAATTGGTAGACAATTTGTCTACAAGGCAAATTTAAGGCCAGCCAGAGTCATGTAGTGAGCCTTCAACACAGTAGCAAATGTTACCTTACCTACTTAACAACTTCCCTGAACTGTATGATTTATCACGAACCTCTGAGTAATATACTTGCACATGAGAGATGCGGCAGTAGGCCCTTTGTGAATTCAAAGCCAGCCTGAGCAAGAGTGAGCCCCTGTCTCAAAAACAAAATTACACAGTTTTGATAGTTTCCTCTCTGCCTTGGTGTCATCACAAGGAGTCTAAGGATTGTGCACCCTGGCTCTTCTTACACACTGAGAACAGGTGTGGTCTATGTCAGAAATAGGGATTACATATTCAAGCTGTCTTCCATTGTACTAGATATCACAGAGGGTGTGACTGAAAGCAAGACAGAATCTCCTTCTTCCTCTTCTGCCAGGGCCTCAATGTGCTTGGCATTGCTTGATGTCACTGCCCATGCATAACTACAATGGGCTCTGCCCCATTCTCATTTAACTAGACTGGGTAGAGGACAGTGCTCTATCCTTCAGTCTTCAGATGCACTGACCTCTCCTCTGGACAGTGTGAACACAGAGAGGCCTCATGGTACACGCCACTGTAGCCCAGCAGCAAGTGACTGTTGGGCACAACGCCTGGTGACAAGCCTTGAAGGTGGTTATAGAGCAGTGAAGCAGCACCAGGCCCTAAACCCATCCCCACCGACATGGAGGAAGGTAATGTTCTGGCTATTTCCTGCTTGGAGCAATCGTAAAAGCAAAAGCTAAGCAGAAGTTCACCTGATCTAGAACTACATGTAGATTTCAGCAAGCCTATCTTGCAGAAAGTTCTCTTGAGAACAGATGAGCTCCAAGTCCCTTCTATAAAGTCGAATCCTTCAACCCTGAAGGGTAAGATGATAAGTACAGGTCTCAGTTACTAGCACACCTGACTACTCAAAAGGAAATCCGTAGTTCAGGCATTATGACTTACTTCTGCCCTGGTACACACACGGACCAGGCATCTAAGAGCTCTGTAGTGGAAGTTGAGCCCTGGACTGCTAGTTCAAACCTCTTTCCAAAGTGGAAAACGGACTGCAATAGTTGAAATGTTTAGAAGGCATCTTTTAAACACACCTTCTTAAAAAAATGTACTTTCTGTGTATGGGTGTTTTGTCTGCACATATGTCCGTGTACTGTATACATGCAGTGGACACAGAGGCTGGAAGAGGGCATCAGATACCCTGGAACTGCAGTTAGAGATAGTTGTTGGCCACCATAGGGTGCTGGAAACCATGAGCACTTGTCAGTTCTCTTAACTGTGGAGCCATTTCTCCATTTCTTTCTTTTTTTAAAGGAAGGAAACCGATGCTCAGAGAGATGCACTATTGTGCTGAGTGAGTAGTGCTCCAGCATGTGAACCGGTCAAACAAGGGAAAACAACAGAGGGCTCTAGGTCCCAGCCCAGGTTCTTAGGAACAGTCTCAGTAACTCTGGGTTTCAGTCACAGAAGGGTCCTTGAGTCTCCCGGACAGTGTGGCAGGGCTGGAAGAATCAAGCAGATCTGCTATTTCTGCTCTAGCTTGAATTCAGTACAGAAACAATAAACCAGCTTCTATAGCCATTCAAAAAAGTTACAGAAATGAAAATGCCTGTCATGGGGGCACTAAGTCTTCTCTCCCATTATCATTAAGAAAAAACAAACATACTATAAAATTTTTTTCATTCAAGTCAAAGAATCTACTCTATGTCCTCAGAGAAAGAAAGCAAGCTATGTACAGAAAGGCAGACAAGGAGAACCTCCATCTTCTCCATAAGTCCTTCCTTCCAAATTCCCATCAGGATAAGAGTTGGAAAGATGGGAAGCCAACAAGCAAAGGGACTGCCACTGCTTTAGCTGTGAGCCTTATTCACATATGCAAGTCATGTTATTTTCCAAGTGAGACTAAAATTGCAGGCATTCCTCCCTTCCTAGTGACCCATGCTGAACAGCCACAGTGGAGATTTCCAGGGCAGAAGAGAAATGTTCCTCCAGAGAACCATTTCCAAGGGTTGGCTACACAACATGAATGGGCATATGGTCGGTCACACCTGACTCCTCCTGGAGTGGACTGAGGTGATGACTGAGCAAAGGTTTCTCCAAAGCCAGAATGGAGATGACCAGGGCATGATGAAGTACATCCAAAGAGTCTGTGCAGCCCCTGAGTGGATGACAGCTACCAAGAGGACTCAGCAGACAGGCAGGCACTGCCAAAAAAAGTTGTCAAAAGAAACAGACTCACTTCCCTCCTAGAAGCATAGCTATAGCTTACTCTATGGTGAACCACATCGTGGACAAGAATCAGAACCAGAAGCACCAAAGGGACAAGTTAACCAGGAAGCCTCTTCCACCATGCAAACAAAAGCAAGCCCCCCTTCCGTCACTTCATAGCTCCCATCCACTGGATGCCAGTTTTGGCACCTCTTCTATATACAGCTACGTACATAGCTATACATAATAAGTAAGCGCGCTTACACCAACATATTTCTTCCCAGCAGTCAAACTTCAAGAGGCACCAATGATTACTATCGTTCCTTTTTTCTTAAGTGAGTACATCTCTGACAGAAAAGCAAATCTGAATAAATAGAGAATTGAGAGGGCAAGGACGTGATATAAGTAGGTTTTCTGAAATACCATCACCAAAAGTACCCAAAGAACGTAAAAGAGCTTAACATAGCCCAAGAAGTTTAAGCACACCTTTATCTTCTAGTGAAAAGCAGTTTTTACAAAACAATTAAACTATGTTAACTCATGTTCTTCAAACACCAAAACGAACTTATGTGAGGCAACTTTTAGTTTTGGAAATATACAAAGTTACCTCGAGCTTAGATGTTTAAGTAAGCATACTCACTTCAAAAGGCTTTATCTTTTGGTACGGCCATGAATCCAAAGGCCAGCCTTACAGAGGAGGACAAGGCAGAGAGAGTTTAATGGAGCACATTTGGGTCAGATCCTCAACGCAACTTCTCTCTTAGCTCTTCAAACATTTCCTTTTTAAAACTACCAGGATCATCTTGGTAATTTCTATCAATACTTCCCAAAGAAATAATAACAACAACAAAATAAACTACAATAGTTCAAATACTGTAAATGAGTGTTTTGGTTTGTTTTTTGGAGACAGGGTTTCTCGTAGCTTTGGAGTCTACCATGGAACTCACTCTGTTGATCAGGATTGCCTCAAACTCACAGAAATCCGCCTGCCTCTGCCTCCAGAAAGCTAGGATTAAAGGTGTACGCCACCACCCAGCTGGGTTTTGTTTTTTAAATACAGGGTCTCATTAGGAGCCCTAGGTGGCCAAGATCTTGCTATGTAAATCAAGTAGGCCTTGAACTCTCAGAGGTCAACCCACCTCTGCCCCCCAAATGCTTAAAGGTGCACGCTTCCATGCCTGGCTATAAGTTTAGAGAACACATTGGAAACTGATGTTCCATTTGTATTTTTGAAAAAGCCAAGCACATCAGTTTAGGCTTGTTATCTTAGCACTCAGGAAGCTGAGGCAGAAAGACTCCTAAGCGCTGAAGGTCAGCCTAAGGCTACTTAGTAAATTCCAGGCCAACCTGGGCTACCTAACAGATCTTATCTTTAAAAAAAAAGGGGAGGGGGAGAAAAGGGCAAACTTGGTCAGAAATGAATGTAAGAGCCAATTGAGGCATAGTTAATAGAAACCATGATGTTGAAATACAAATAAACAAAAGCAGACCAGCACGTGAAGAACCAAAATGGGACTTTTAAAAAATTACTTCTTTAATAGGTCTCAGAAAAGCAGTTAGAGTCCCAACACAAGGACAGCATAGTGAGTTGCCTCCTGATAGGTCACTGTTGATTTCGTCAAGTGGAGATCCTCTCTGTGACACCAGGTATACCTCAGTTGAAACTCTGAGGGTAGTATTTTTGTGTTCTTCTTACTTTCAAGCCAGGAACTCTTTGGTGGAGGACAATGAGCCAAACCCAGGCTCTGCCATCACTAACCGTACTTTTTAAATTTCTCATCAACAACCTCCCTGGCCCATAAATTTCAAAAGCGAGTTCCTTTGTTACATTCCCACCACTTGAGGTGTGAAAAGAGAGCAAGTACTTTCTCTGCCTATTCTTGAGCTATTGTGCGTAATTTAAAATGGCCATCCATGGAAAGCCGTCAGGGACCCGGTGGGAATCTATTTCTCTTGCCCAGAAAATGGACAATCACTGCCCCTTGTCCTGGTGTAAAGAGAAAAGTAACAGACTCGAAGAAGTAGAAGGGGACACGTGCCCCTGCAAGTGCCACCCAAGGAGGTCTTGCCACCCGCCAAAGGATAGGGTCCCTACCTTTTCCGCGCGGCCCGGAACCGCTGGCACCACCACTACCCACAGCGCAGGGCGCGTCCTTCCTGGGCCTCTTGCTCTGTGGTCGCACGCTGGACCTGAGGAAGTGGTGCTGGTCTTGGGGACTACCCTGCGGTGGGGACGGCGCTGGTAACCCTCTGGGTGGTGCTGGGGCTCCGGAGGCCCGAGGGGTCTGCCCGTCCCTCTTTGTGCTGCTGCTGTCCTCCGCCGCGTCCGCGCCGCCGGGCCCCTCTCCGTCCAGCGACTCCTCATCGGCCGTCCGCTTGCCCAGCTTCTTGAGCCCTTCCTCCCCGCTGCCGGCGTCGCCCAACTTCACTGTCATCCTGCGGCGGGAGAGGCGAGGAGCGGTGAGGCGGGCGACGGGCAGAAGTTTACCGCCGGCCTCCCAACATGGCGGCCGTTGTTTGTTCCAGCGCCGCCCGCCCGCCCGAGGGCCCGCACAGTGCTGAGTCCGACCGGACCGGGACCCCGCCCCGCCCTTGGACGCCCCCAACCCAGGCTGGCCAACACGGCCCAGAGTCGTGCAAGGCACGGTAGCTAGGCCTGGCTTCAGCGCTGTAGGAGCCGCTGTCCCGCCACCTACCCCTCGGCGCTGCAGCTCATGGCCCAACCTGGGCCCCCCTCGTTCCCCGCACCGCCCGTGGCCCCTGGCCTCCCCACTGCTCGCTGGAGACGCGCGCGATCGTGCCGCGCACCTGCCTAGTGCAACGGCCCGCGCTGCCCTCGGAGCCCCCAGAGCTCCACGGGCCAAAGCTGCCGCTCCCTCCGATGCTGGCATGCAAGAGAGAGGCTCTGCACTCCGGGAACCTTCCCAGGAGGGAGACAGGAGATGGACCGACTACAACGCTCGTGCAACAAAGCCTGTTGCACGGAACAGGTTAGGGAACACCGGAAAAGTGACAGCATACACTATTATGTTCCAGTCGGATTTCAAGAATCGGAACTAAACTATGTAAACAATGCTGGAAACAACAAAATTCTTGGTTAACTTCTGCCACTGTCATAAAAATATCGGTAAACAAAGTAACAATTATCTGCAGCCTGGAGAAGTTACACTCAGAAGAAACTAAGGATCAGGTACATTCCAACATCTTAGGCACAGGCTGTGTACGTGATGAAGCAGGAAAGGGAGACATCGCGTTCTTCAGCAGACGCGACACTAGGCTCAACGCAATTGCTGAGAACATTCCCATTTAATAAGAAAACTAGACAGAGCAAGGCACCAACGCTAAGAAGGAAAAAGATTGAGGGTAGAGACCGGGACGTAAAACTCCAAGTAACACCACAAAATGGTGCTGCAACAAACGGTGTGCATTTTCCTGTTTAGGTCTGATCTAACACTAGTTTAAGAAAACTCTGGCACAGAACCACATACCCACGCTAAGGGATTTCACACACAGGACTTCTCTTTGAACATATTCATTTTTAAGCTTCTCACCCAGGTGCCCAGAACCCTGTCATTGCACTAGCGAGTGAAACCCATTCCCAGAACCAGCCGTTCCAACGCCACCGAGGAAAACGCGTCAGTCAAACAGGACCCACTCGCCTGCGCGCCAGGCCGCGTCCCCAGGCGCATTCCGGTCGTTCCCCAGTAGCGGTGGACTCCATAGGAGTCCGTCAACTAAAGCCGTCACTTCCTGACCGTGGGAGGCACGGGCACTGCGGGCCTCAACCAGGCTCCACACCCTTTGTCCCATTCCGGGTGGGAGCTCACAACGTCCCGGGGAGTTGACCGCTGGCAACACGCAGCACAGGCCGCCAATACCGCGGCCCCTCCGCGGATCCCGTAGGCACCCGAGTGCAGCCTGCGGTCACCTTTTTCATCCACGCCTCCCGGCAGCCTGGATCCCGGATCCCGGGCCTCCGCGGGCGCCCGCAGAACCAACCGGGCCGGGCAGCTCCGGCTGCGGCGAGGCCGCGACGCCGGGCTGCTGGTTGTGTGTTGGATGCGGTCGCCGAGCACCGTTCCCTTCGCACGTCTTTTCCGTGGACCGGAGTGCGGCTGACAGGGCTGAGGGCGCCGGTGCTGCCGCCGCTCGCCCTCCCACACCCTGGCCGCCGCGCTCTAAACAGTTCCGGCTACGGCGGCCGCCGGGGACCTGAAGTCAGCGCCGGAGCGGGGCGGGGCGGACGTCTTGCAAGAAGACGAGCACGTCCAGTTTTTCTGCGGGCGCGCCCAACTAGCTGTGTTGCCATTGGTCAGCAGCGGATGCGTGCGCGCGCGCGCAGAGTCTACCGGGGCGGGCCCGCAACGTGGGGCGTGTTGTGACGGTAACCTCGCGCACTTACGGACGGTGCGTCTCTTCGGGTTGGCGAACCGACAGCCAATAGGCTCAGCATCCGGGCTGTGATTGGCTGTGGCTGTGTTGACGGATGCATGAGAAGAAATCACCGCCTCGGCGGGGCGTCTCGAAACGCGCGCGAACTCGGGTGGGGATAAGGCACTCGGGAAACAGGTTTAGGGCCATAAACATATCATAGCATACCCCACTGACACTTGTCCTTTTTGAAGAGATAAAGAAACGTTATTAAAAACTCTATTGCTTACGCAAGTGGCGTTTGAAAATGAGTATCCCAGTTCAGGGGAGGTCCCCACCTCTGGTTATCCCCGTCGCTCATTTGCGTGGACCGTGCTACTGCGCCTGCTCTTCGGCGACACCCGCCGTTGGCTAACGCTGGCTGATGTGCGCACGGTCTCCCAGGGAACCCCTTTCCTAGCCGCGAGGTTCTGCCGAGTACCGGCTTGCAGCTGTCTCCCGAGACGTCAACGCGCCACACTTGGGGGCGGCGTCCAGTACTCAGAACGTCCCAGAGAAGCTCTCGAGCTGCGTCCTCCCATCCTAGGAGATGCAGCAAAACTCCGCGAGGTGCCGGCTAATGGCCTCCGTAGTGGGGTGGAAAGGATGAATCCAAGGAGAAAACAACAGGAAACTTGGCACAGCTTGCCCTGAGTAGCAAATAGTTCTGGTCCATGCATTAGCAGGCAGCCCAAACTGTGACCCTGAGGCGGGCCCGAGATTCGGAGCTGCGCCGGGTGGTACCGACTGTCTTCGGCTCTTTCCGCGGCCAGCCGCCAGTCGTTTCGGGAAGCATAGGAAGCGCGGCGCTCTCCCTCAACAGCGTCTGCTTTCTTCGAGCGTTGTTGTCCTGGCAACACGGAGGTATAGGGAGCCTGACGAAGTTAGATTCCTATTGCTGAAATGCAGAGGGGCTGGGGTTGGAGTAGGGAGCCCAGCCAGGCTTAGGGTGGGGCGGGCCCTTTAGGATCGGGCTGGGGCCCCGAAGTGACTTGCCAGGACCCTCTTGATTTCTCTAAATATGCTGGCTTCATAGGTCCTGCACAATGCTAGGACCTCCTGGTGATTTTTCGATTTGGCACGTGGATTCCTCTAGATGCATTTAGGGCAAAATGGGGGGAAGATAAGAAAGTCAAAATCCTGAGCTTGGTCAACCTTCGGATGGCTTACAAAGATCACATGACCGCTTTGAACTACAAACCTTTTCAGTAATGTTTATCTGAGGCAGCCCGTGACCTTATTCTAGCCTAGAGGGTGGCCACTGGTCAGTACCCCTGAAAGTCTATTTTAGAACCCATTCTTGTGTTCCTGAAAGTGTCTCAGAGGAGTAACTTTTCTTTAAGTTTTGTTGGTGTGACTCCTCCGCATAATGGGCCTAACAGATTGTTTCCGAAAAGTTGTTTGTTTGGTGGAGGCAATTATCCCTGAAAACAATTGATGACTATAAAAATGAGGATCAGTTGACTGTAGAAAGTGAAAATTTCCTTTTCTTGTTTTATGTCCTAGACTCTTGAAGCTTGTTTTATAGAAGAAAGGGTAAGTACTTGATCCTGAACTAAAGCAATTAACGAATTCTCATTAAGTATTTTATTGTGAACATCTTCCTCCTAAAGTTTACTTTAATAACTTTTTACTTACGTGACTGATAATCATTTAAAAACTAGAGTACTAGTGAAAGAGAAACTGAATGATTAAAACATTGTATAAAAATGGAGTTATTGAAGCTGGTATCTAGCCCCCTTTTTAAAAATAGAATTTTCACTGGGCAGTGGTGGCGCATGCCTTTAATCCCAGCACTCAGGAGACAGAAGCAGGTGGATCTCTGTGAGTTCGAGGCCAGCCTGGTCTACAAGAGCAAGTTCCAAGATAGGCTCCAAAGCTACAGAGAAACCCTGTCTCCAAAAACCAAAACGAAAAAAAAAAAAGAATTTTCTTTCTTTTTTTTGAGGCAAGGTCTCACTATGTAGACAATACTGATTCAAACCCTGCCCCTTGTCTTGAGAGCTGGGATTAAAAGCTTGTGCCATCATGTTTGCCTTTTTTTATTTTTAATGTGTGCATGTGTATGCATGTGCGCCAGCAAAGGCATCAGATCCTGGAGGAACTGGTGTTACAGGCAGTTGTGGACTGCCTGATGTGAGTGCTGGGACTTGAAGTTATGCTGTCTAGAAGAGCACTGTGCTCTCTTGACCACAGAGCCATTGTTCAAGCCCATGTCACAGTTCAGATTCAGCTTCTCCAGGGTCACTCTAGCCTTGTGATCCTGACTTTCTAAAAGAGACATCTGTCCACTACCACCTGGACATCATAGCTAGACAACATTCTTGAGTTTTATGGTTTTACTAAAATTGAACACTGTTTTTCTCCTTTTCCCCCTGTAGAGGTGTTCTTTTATGGGCAGTTTGCTTTTATTTTGTTTTAAAGTTTTCTTTGAAAGTACCTGTAGAAATTAAAATCATGCTTATTGTCTCTACAATGAGAATTGCCAAGAATTATTTAAAGTCCTGGTTTCAGTGCTCACTTGCTTTTATTATCTTTCTAGTTACTTCTCTGATGGCAATGAATTTTACTTCCTTCCCAGCGCACTGTGGGTCACTACAAGTTCATTCTTTGCATCTAATTTTCTATTTCTCCCTAACAGATATCTCTAGCAAATAAACTTGCCCACATTAGTCTAAAGAACGTTTTTCAGGTGCTAGGTGTCTTTATAGGTTTGTTTCCCTTTTGTAACCTTACATGTAGTTACTCTTGGTGTTTTTTTCCTCTCTGCAGGTTTCATCCCTGACCAGATCTATACATCATCATGGCACTGTATTTTGACCACCGAATCAAATCCCCAGATTCATCCAGATCCCCCTCTCACATTAGCTGGCACCCCACCCACCCATTCCTGGCAGTAGCATCTGAAAGCCCGGCTGCTGGAGGCAATGTAGACATCTACCTTGAACAAGTGAGTCATCAGAGCTACTTAGACTTCAGCAGCTTCTACCTCTTCTGCTCTTTTCTTTCCTTGAGGCACAGAGGCCAGGAGTCAGGGTAGCACCGCTCTAGATTTCTCCTCGTCAGTTCTTCCTCAAGGCCCAATTATTCCCACTCATACAAGCGCTCACGTGTGGCAGTTCTCTTCTCCCTGCCGTATAGATTCCTGAGCATGCTTAACCCTGATCCCCTGTGCTGTGCATGCCTTCTTCAACTCTTTGTGTTGGCCCTTTGGATTTTTTAGATTTATTTATTTTATGTGTATGATTGTTTTTGCCTGTTTGTATGTACATGCACCAGTGCGTGTCTTCAAGGCCAGAAGAAGGCACTGGATCCACTGGAATTGGAGTCATAGATGGTTGTGAGCCATCATGGTGTTGTTGGGAACCAAACCCGGGTACTTAGAAAGGTCAGTAAGTGCCCTGCACCACTGAGTCATCTTTCCAGCCCCATGCTGACCCCCTTCAAGCTATACTAGTTTCCTGTGGCGGCTGTGACAGATTACCAAAATTTGGGTGTCTCCAAAGAAGAGAAACTCCTTTTCTCACAGCTACAGAGGCCAGAATAGAGAAGATCTGGATTTTGCTGACCAGCCAGCCGAGCGGAAGCGGTTAGCTCCAGGTTCACATGAGAGACTTTATCTCAGAATAAGGAGAGCTGACGAGATGACTCAGTGAGTAAAGGTGCTTCCAAGCCCGACACCTGAGTTCAGTCTACAGGACCCACAGGATGGAAGTAAAGAACCACTCCCTGTCCTCTTACACATGACACACACATGTGTATACACAGATATACACAAAATAAGTCATTTTTTGTTCTTGTTTTTTTGAGAGAATGTTTTTCTGTGTATCCCTGGCTATTTTGGAACTCTCTCTGTAGACCAGGCTGGCCTTGAACTCAAAGATCAACCTGCCTCTGCCTCCTGAGTGCTGGGATTAAAAACATGTGCTACCACTACTTGGCTTATAAGTGATTGTTTAAAAAGATTTTATTTTTATTTTGTGGAGTTTGTGAGCGCACATGTGTGTCAGTACCCTTGGATGCTAGAGGATATCAGATTACTGGAGCTGGAGTTAGAGGGGATTGGGAGCCATCTTGACTTGGGTGCTCGAAGCTGATCAGGTCCTCTGGAAGAGCAACATGATCTTACCTGCTGATCCATCTCTTGAGTCCCCAACAGCCTCTAGTCTTCACACATCTTATGCATGTGTATATGCACATGTGCACCCAAACACACATGGAAGAGACCATCTATCATATCTCCTTATTAAATAGCTCTTCAGATCTTAAAGTAGCTGATGTGAACTGTGTGGATTAGGCAGTTCCTGATATCCCTGCCACTATCTAAATGTGAGATTTTACTTCTTGTTTCACATAGGGTGAACCTGTGCCTGACACCCACATTGAGAAGTCCTTCCGGGTCACTTCACTGTGCTGGCACCCAACAAGGCTTATCCTGGCTGTTGGCTGGGAGACTGGAGAAGTGATAATGTTTAATAAGCAAGACAAGGAGCAGCACACAGTGCCCCTGCCGCATACTACTGACATTGCCATCCTCAGTTGGAGTACCAGCGGGAGCTGCCTGGTATCTGGAGATAAGGTGAGAAGTTCACAATCTCCATCCCCACCATGCGATGCATACAGGGGTGCACCCGAAAGATGCTAAAGACCAAATTATTTGAAATGTTTCATTTCTAGTGTCAACTAATCTCTTCAGGCATGATTACACATTTTTTTCTTCTCATTTTTACTGGTTGAGAATGTTAGCCAGGCAGTGGTGACACATACCTTTTATCCCAGCATGTAGGAGGCAGAGGCAGGTGAATCTCTCTGAATTTGAGGCCAGC